GGCCGCAGTGTGACGCCTGAGCAATAAGTCATGTGCAGCATTCCAGACAGGCTTGCAGCTTAAGATATGCACCTGAGTAAATGTCGGTGGGAGGAGATTGCTAAATTAGTTTTCAGAACTGTGATAGAGTACTGTATTAAAATTTACTGTCAGTTCTTTGTCACTTAATTTGAAGAGTGAAAGCAGCATAATTAATATTTTCCAGATGCTCTATATGGGTTATTTACTTTGTAGATAAAAAGGGATCTGATTTAACTTTCCTTATGATTTGTGAAACTGCTAGATTTTTGCCTGTAGGATTAAAATGAAAATTGTGTTTTTAAGAGAATATCACTATGATTGTCTATATTTTGCTTTTAGGTTGGTACATTCTAATTATCAAAGCAGAAGTTGGCAAACTTTTTCTGTAAAGGTGCAGATATTAAATATTTTTGACTTTGTAGGACAAATAGTCTGTCGCAACTACACAACACTAGTACCACAGCAGCTGTAGATATATGCAATAAATGAGCATGGCTGCCTTCCAATAAAACTTTATTTTGGACACTGATATCTGAATTTTATTTCACTTCCTACCTGTTAATGAAATATTCGTCTTTTGATTTAAAAAATTTTAAATCATGGTCTCTACAAAAACGGGGTTGGGGCCGGGGGTGGAGGCTGGATTTGGTCCACAAGTCATAGTTTGCTGACCTCTGAATTAAAGGATTTAAAAAATAGGCATATTCTTCCAAAGGCCAGCTGTCTATAATTTTGATTTGATCATAGGGGAGGTCTTGTTTTGTTGTAATGAAGAGGTTTTCTTATACATTTGAAAAACTTCCAGCAGTGGTTCTCAAAATCCTGCATCAGAATCACCTGGAGAGTTCATTAAAATGCAGATTGCAGGGCCCCATCCTTGAGTTTCTGATTCAGTAAATCTATGTGAAGTCCAAGAACTTGCATTTTTAACAGGTGAGGCTGGTGGTGTTCTGGGACCACACGTGGAGAATCACTGATTTAGAGATGAGGGTGCCCAACAGTGGGGGAATAACAAGGTTGCTTCTTTTCCTCAGTGCCCTCAGAGCAACTATTGATTTTTCTACCTAGAGGTTTCTTGGAAATAGTCAAAATTGTAATGGTTCTAAGTCCAAAGGTCATTGGAACCAAATTTATAATTTCCCTGTTTATTGAGTATTTTTCCTCCATCAATTTCTGTTATAAACGTTTAAAAACTAGAGATTGTTTTACAACAGTGTTGGGGAAAGATGTGTGCATAGACATATAAATAAAGGAATATATATGTATATTATAGTATATATTATTAAAACATATATGTAATAGATACTCATGTATCAGTTTTGAAAATAGTACACTGCCAGTAACTGGCTTTTGTATTCCTCCTCTATCACATCATCCTTTTCTTTGACTTTTACTGTTGGTATCCACAAGCAATATAGTCTAGTTTTGCACACGCATGAACTTTATATAGTTTCATTACACACACACACACACACATCCGAGTTGATGAATATAGCAGTGGCTCATTCATTTTCACGGCTGTGAGTATATTTGTTTTGTGAATGCACTCCAATTCATCCATTCCCCTCATGATGGACATTTGGATTATTCCAGTTTTTACCAACAATATAGCTGATTTTTTTTCTGTCTGGATGACTAATGTCTTGATACTTTGATAGTTCATCCTTCCCCCACTGGTTGCATTATTACTTCTTACCTATATCAAGTGTGCACATGTAGAGTCCCTGTTCTGTTCCACTGGTCAATTTGTCCCTGTGTCAATACCATTCCGTCTTAATTCCTATACCCTTAGCTTTATGATGAGCCTTAATATTGGATAGAGCTTTCTTTAAAAGTTTCTCAGCCATGTTTTAATAATAAATTCCTGACTTGGGCCCTTCATTCGTCTATATAAATTTTAGAATTCCCTTATATTGCATGGGGAAAATAAGAACTTTGGGTTGGAGATGTAGTAATAGACTAATTTGGGAAGAAGTTACACCTGCGTAACATTAAGTATTCTTGATCATGAATATGTTATCCCTCTCCATGTGTTGATGTCTTCCTTAATACCTTTCAGTAAAGTTGTTTATATGTTTGCATTAAGATAATATATTTCTTTTATTAAGTTTATTATTGAGCACCTTATTTTTGCTATCTTTTAAGAGTTACATTTTAAAACTTTGCGGCTGGTGTATAAAAATGAAATTAATTTTTGTTTGCTGACCTTGCTTGACTCTTAATGTTTCTGAAGTCTGTTCTTGAAATCTTTTGGGCTTTCTACATGAATAGTCCTGTTCTGCAAATAATGACAGTTCGCAGTCTTTCTCAATCCCAATAACATTTACCTCTTTTTCTTATCTGACTGACTGACTTGACTGAAACTTCCAGTACAATTTTGAACATACATGGCCTCTCATTTCTGATTTAGGAGGAATGCTTCTAACATTTCTCACATTTGCCACCACATGTTTGCTGTAGGTTTTTGATACATGCCCTTTTTGGGGTTATGAAACTTCCTTTTATATACATATGTCAATTTTGCCAGTATTTTTTAATAAAAAGGTTTAAAATTTATCAAATGCGATTTCTGTATGTATTGAAATAATATGCATGTGTGCTTTTTGTTTATTTGTTAGCATACTGAAGTAGATTTTTCTTTTTTATTTTATTTTAAAGATTTTTATTGGGGAATTGGAGGAGGGGAACAGCATTGGGGAATCAGGGAAGGGAAACAGACAGGTAGACAAATTGCTGTCCTTTTGTTCTTCAGTCTAGTTGTGGGGGATGTTGCTTCACTGGCCCATGTTGGTATTATCACTGCGCTCTTCCCAGGTGAGGCAGATCGGTCGCCGGTCATTGGTCGGCCGCTCACGGCGGCTCATGGCAGCCCACTGGGGCCCTGCTGCAGCCTACGCTGTTGCGGGCGACTCACAGCAGCCCAGCTCCAGGTCGAACTGTTGTTCACCATCTTAGCTGTAGAGGGCAGCGTCACTGTCCCTCAATGTGGGATCCGAACCGGGGCCCTGCTGCTCAGAGCTGGCGCTCCCAAGCGAGCTCTTAACCAGCGGAGCCACTCGGCCGGCCCCTGAATTATATTTTTCTAACATTAAATCAAGTTTGCGTTCCTGGGATAACTTGATATATGTCCTAACCTATGGCTGGGCGCTCCTTGAATCCTGAGCCCCACTGCTGTGAAGATCCTTCCCCTCTGATTTGTTTGTACCTTCCCCCTCACTCCCCTTCAAAAGTTGCTGTTTTCAACCAAGTTATTTTAATCTCATGTCGCCACCTGGTGGCGCACTTTGGAAATTTCTGACTCGCTAGCCTTCCTTTTTCTCTTAGGGAAATGTATGCATGTTGTTTCCTGTTATCACTGTAACCCTCATTAATTGTTTCCTTTCTTGTACCTTACATTTATCCACTTTACTCCCCCATCCTCTTTTTCTTGCTCTTCTAAATTTTCTCAGTATACTCATGGAAACCATTCTCTTTTCCTTTGTTCCTTCTCCCTTTGTTCCTTTACGAGTAAAAATCTACCTCAATTATGGTTAATCAAGGTGAGAGTAGAGCTGGGACTAAGGAAAAATATACAGCAATACATTTGTAAATGACATTTGATACAATAAAGGGTCAGCTCTGCTAACCTTCCAGGTCCTTGAAAATACTTAAAATTCCCTTTAAGATGTTCTTAAATTTCAAGTAGTACTTAGTCATCTAACTGATTCTGCCCCTTAATTTCACATTAAGCTCAAGTATTAAAGAAAAATTATAAAACTGTTAATAAACTTCATTGTTTCTATGTTCCTTTATTACTAGCTTTGACAAATTTGGATTTCTACTGTATTTTACTACAAAGACTCAGCTTTTCATTATGGATTAAGCTGCCTGGAAACTGAACTACCATCTATAACATGGTTTCCATGGGAAACAGCACACAACAGATGCCCTTTTTGTACATAACCAATTTATAAGATAAAGATTGCCAGTAACTGCATTTCTAATTGCTTAACCCACAAGCATAAAAAATACTGTAAGCAATATTCTCATTCAGATATCTTGACACATGGGTAAGCTTGATTGGTTTAGCAGTTTTTCTGTAGAGTTAATCGTGACTGTTTTTGGTGTCTCTAAGGACTGTATCTGAGAGATGCAGATGAGTCAGCTGAAGAAGACAGACCAGAGAAAACAGGGCTGAAGTTGCTCTTTTAACTACAGTAGTGCCAGCATGGCTGAGGAGAGGTTTTTACTGTTTGTTTGTTTGCAGCTATAGTACATTGAGAACTTGCTGATACAAGGATTGCAACTGTTGATTTCAAAGTAGGCACCCCAAAGTATTTTGGGTCCGTAAGTCTGGTTAGTGCCTGAAAGACATTTTAACTGTGCCTAAATTAATCAAGAGAGACCTCAAGTAAAATATAAAATCTATCTTAAGCATTACTCTAATACAGCGGTTCTCAACCTTCCTAATGCCGCGACCCCTTAATACAGTTCCTCATGTTGTGGTGACCAACCATAAAATTACTTTCGTTGCTACTCTATAACTGTAATTTTGCTACTGTTATGAATCATAATGTAAATATCTTTCTGTTTTCCGATGGTCTTAGGCGACCCCTGTGAAAGGGTCGTTCGACCCCCAAAGGGGTTGCGACCCACAGGTTGAGAACCACTGCTCTAATACAAAGCTTTGGTGTGTACAGCTCTGGGCATTATTCTTGTGAAACTATTCAGTTTGTGTTGAGTTGCGGCAACTATTAGAATTCTAGTACCTGTTTAAAGGGAGGTTTAAAGGTATTCTTATTTCCATGTTGTAATAATGGAGATTCAAAAGTGGACTGAAAAAAAAGTTAAAGATTAAGAAGAAGATGACTTTGGCAATGTGGTTACTCAGAGGCCCTACACGACGCAGGGAACAGTGCTCCTGGCATTCCGTACTATTTGGCTTCCGTCTGTGTTCTTTTGCTAAACGCTTTCTAACCTCTTGATGTCTCTTTTGAAAGGTGGGGACCCAAACTGTATGCATTGTTCCAGATGCGTTCTTGCCAAAACAGCATAAAGCAAATGTAACAGTTAGGAAGAAGGCTCCCTCCCTCACGAGGTAAGTACCTCTGGCAGCTGTGGCCAGGCCAGTCCACCTTCCCATGAGACCTGCCACGCCTCTCACTGCCGAGATGCTGGCAGGACTCCGTAAAACCGAAGTTTTTCCTTGACGGCCCAGAGCCTTTATCTAGTCTAGAGAATTCTCAGTCAAAGGAGCTGACCTAAAGCAACCCCTATCATTGCAGCATCTAATTCCACCCCTCCAGGTTCCTCCTCATTTGTTTATATCTCTTGGGCTCTTTGCCAGTCAAAATCATCTTCCTCTAATTTAATAATTTGGAGGTCTGAGTTTTTTAAATTGAGATTTTCCCTGTAGTCCTGGTGAACTATTTGGACATGGTACTCTAGACTGCGCTCTTACCTTTGCGAAAGAACCCGCTGGGTGTAGAGTGAGTGTTAACGGTGCAAGCTCACACACATGACACTTGTGTGCTGCCGTTAGGTTTTTTTCTTATTTTTCTTAAAAAAATTCAGATATACTTAAGAATGAAGTGCCATACATACATATTGAATAGAAGAATTCCAGAATTGGTTCATAAGCCAGGTTAGTACTATGCATTGATCTCAGTTTTGAAATATTTGAAAATCATTGATCAACAAACATAATTTCCATGATAACAGGTTGTTTTAAAATTCCTTAATTTCTTTGGCAGCGACTGTTTTGACCCCTCCCATTTCTAAATAAAACCACAGCAATGCAGTTTATCTTATAGATCTCGAATAGTTCATTTGAGTTCCCCCAACCTGCTGATTAAGCCTGCCAAAGGTCTATAAACCTAACTTCTAGCTATATGTGAATATATTTGAGATAATACTTTAAGATGTGGAATAAATGTCCATTATAACAATATTGTTTTTTAGATGTTTTTCATGTGACATAAAAAAAATGGCCATGCATGTTCAGTTGAGGTGGCGAATTTTTAGAAATGATCTCCTTCTTTGGCCTCGAATTTTGGATTACTCTGAAATGGGTTGAAAGTCATGCAAGAATCTCGGACATTCCATGACATCACCAAAACACTTCATTGTTTCAAACCCACTTGAAGGGCTTGTGGCATATCCATCACCATTCGCTCTCACTTGGTGTGAAAGGAGTGGAGCTGATTGTTAATTCATATAATCCAGTTAGTCTTATTCCTGATATTTGAGCTAAAATCCTTGGCTGAAACATGTCCTTAGCATTCCATAGATTGCCATGAACAATATTCTTCTTAGCTATTCATCTTTAAACCATTTTTTCTAATGCAGGAGTTTATGTAACATTTTGTTTGCTGATTGGTAAGATCCCCCAAATTAAAATTTGCCTGATGTTTTCCAGTTTCCCCTCATTGACTTTTATCTGTTAATACTTTTGAGAGCAAAACCTTTGAGGGAGCGTGACTCTGTGCTATTGTTGTTAGAAGTAGGAAAATAAATTTTCTGCATGACTTACCAGAAAAGTCAAGATCAAATGACAGAGATTTTGAATCATCCAGAGATTAATTTATTAAAGGATCAAGGGAGTTGGCAGTTGCCACATCCTTCAGCTTGAAATGTCACATAGTTGGCAGCCTCAGAAGAACTGCTGGGCCTCCCCATAGTGATTATAATGTTACTGACCCAAGAAAAAGCACAGGGACTTCTGAGTGGTTTTCCGATCCTTCTCCCACTGTCTTTAGGGTTTCTGCTCATCTTGTCTTCCTATGGCCTATGGAATTACGGAGGTGAGGAATTAGGAGTGGCATCTACAGCCATGGACAAGCTGTAGCTGGCTGGTTTGTTGGTTTGTTTGTGTTTTTCTTCAGGGATAGAACGCCCTACAATCTCAGGTACCAGGCTGTATCCAAATTACTAATCAGCCCCAAATGCCTCTGGCAGTCTGATGTATTCAGACCCATGAGCTTCTTGCTCTCAACCTCCAGGCCTTGTCCTTTCTCTGAGGGGCTAGGCTGATTTTTGCTTAGGAGGCCATGTTAGATCTGATATGAGGACCCTCTCTCTTGGACCCTGGGTCTGGAAGTGGCCTGAGGTGGGTAAGATGGAACTGGTATAAATATGGTGAGCTCATCCCTTGGGCACACATGCCCCACAGGCTGCTCCAACACTTCTCTTGTGATTCATGTCACAAAGGTTTATATGACTGTGATGTGAAGGGGAGTGTGTTTGCACCATGATCTCATATCCATATCATAATTCTGGATCTGAGCGTTGCAAGATCTATGTTAGATTCCCTTGAAGACCAAACATAATTCTAGCCTGGCAGAGCTCAGAGTGCAGAGTCTGTGGAACCACTTTTCTTTTGGTGCAATCTGTAAGTCATGGCATTTCTTCAGAATCCATCTCCCTTCATAATTCAGCAGTAAGCTCAACCATGGCTAAATGTTATTTATGAAATGTGTGCATTTCAATTAAGGTCATGACCATTTCAATCCTATTATGGTAATACTTAAGTTTCATTTTCTTCTTTCTTGCCTAAATTTCCTGTTCACTTTCGATGTCTTCACGCAGGTCCCTGGCATATGCCACATGGCGAGCTTTAGGATAAGGACCTACCAAGACATGCCTGATGTTCTGAATGTGTACTTCCCCAAAAGTCCAGAATCTCAGCTGGAACCAGATGGACACATGTTCCCGTACCCGGGACTCTTGCTGACAGTTCTCTCCACTTCTCAGTTTACTGTTGGTTTTCTCTTTCTCGCTATCCTCTCTCTCTCCAACCCCCTCGCTTGCCTTTCCCAGGGGCAGACCTCAGAAAGATGGGCCAGGACTTGGGGCACCCTATAGCCCCAAGCCAGCACCAACTGTGTCCCATCTTCGAGGGACTGTCCCCCAAACAGATGCCTGCAGGCCTCAGCTCCTGAGAGCCCACTTTTGTCTGCATGACTAGCTTGTAAGGAGGGACATATGGAGAGAATTTCCAAGAATTTTTCACTTTTTCAAAGAAATGTATGTAACTTATTTTTGGCTTTGAACTCAGAGCAGACTCACGGTGTACAGCTGTGTTTACTAGTGCGCATCTGTGAAATCTGGAGAAATTGATGCAACATTCCCCTTCCTGTCCTGGCTGTTTGTATAATTGTATATAAATGTAGCAATAAATATATTCTAACATCGGCCTGGGGCATCACTTTCCACTTGATTCTGCATGGTGATGGTAAGCAGTGATATCACATTCTCGAGGAACTGCCCTACTGACCGGTGGAGCTTGCCTGCCCTGTCTCAGGTTCTCATCTTCTCTGATTTCACAAAGTGTTAGTTTAGAGTTGGCCAATGTTTAGAGAAAGGAGGTTGAGGAGTACGGTGGCAGAGCTGGGAGTGAAGCAGCATTATTAATTCACTAGGTGGCACTATTCCTGGCACTCTGAGGTGGCTCCAATGTCCAGGGACTGAAGCTTGGAGGATTGGGTGACAGTTTGCAACATGAGTCAGCTATTTTAGTAATCACTCTTACATCCTTTAAGAATGTATTGTGCTGCGATTATATGGCAGGTACTTACCTGCCAGGCACAAAGGTAACCTTTGAGATTTTCAGATAACCACACAAAATATGCCAACGTGACATTGAATTTTCCATGTGTCCCCGATGTTTTTTCAAGGGCACTAAGTCTAGTTGTTTTAGAAACAGTGTCCTCCTAAAGCAGACACATAAGCAAATAACCTTTTGTTTGGCAGAAATCATGCTATTTTGTCTAATATCAAGGAATATTTGTTCCCAAAGTGGTTTCATAATTTATTTGAAATATTTGGTTATCAGACATTTTTTTTTTAATCACTAAAAAATAACCACAGGGCCGGCTGAGTGGCTCAGTTGGTTAAGAGCTCACTCAAGAGTTTGAGCTCTGAGCAATAGCGGTTTGAGTCCGGCCTGAGCTGAGCAGCCGCTGCGCTGCCAACAGGTAGAAGGATGGCTCGGCTAAAAAAACAAACAAACAAACAAACAAAAAAACACATACTTTGTTGTGTTTTTTTTAATCAAATTGCCATCTCTCAGGCCTCTCCTTTATAAGCAGAATTTGGTGGAAAACCATTGGGTCATAAGACCTGGGAGTGCGTGGAGTGGGAAGTTGGGTGTCCTTGGGCAGGGTTCCCAGGCAGCACTGGAAAGACTACCTTTTATGGATTAAAACACGGTAGACTGGAAGCGCTTGAGGAAGTCATCAGGTTGAGCCCTTTGAACCACTGATCAGATAACTATCTATCTGAACAATCATGCCAGGTCTGTTCTTACGTTCACCTTTTAATAGATCCACCAGGGAACCTGAGGCTCAGGGTCAAAAGGTAAAGAAGGCGTGTGGGCTGAGCCTTCCACGGCAAGTTCCTGTAATACCACTTGACACACCTGTTCTCCACATGGATTTGTCTGGCCAGGACAGGTGATACAGGGAGAAATTATTTAAAAAGATAAGTGACAAATTATCCGTTGCTTCGGATTATAGTGTGATACAAGATAAGCCCAATCAGAGGTAATGCTATATAAACAACAGATTCTGGAGCTGTGGAGGACTGAGGATTTCCAGCCTGTGGGCGTTAAACCTGGACGTGGGTGGGGGCTCTGCCAGCAGTTAGACCCCGGACTACACATTTCAACTCGCTGGGTCTCTGATCTATCTGGGGAATGAGGCGTTTGGACTAAGTGATTCCTAAGATCCTTTCTGTTTTCTGAGTCCCCTCCTTTGGGAAAGAGAAGGGAGTAGCACACTTTTAATGCTGAAAAGCAAGGTCATGGGCTGGCACCCATGGGCAATTGAGAGGCAAAAGAGAGGAAGATCACCTCTTTTCAGATACTGAGAACTGCATTAAGATAACGACAAGTCAAAGCACCACCTGGCGAAACCCTTCTGAGGAAAACAATATCCTCAGCTCTCCCTTTTCACATCCTATCGGCTGGATTTCTTCTTGGGGACTGTTCGGCAGAGGGCAGAAAGCTGCAGAGTACCCTTGCTGAGACAGGCGTCTGCGACGTTGAAGCCTCAGAGTAAGAAGCCACTTCACTTCCTGAGCCGCCCACCTCACCCCCCCCCCGGGCGGGGCCAGGAAGAGCGCCCCCTAGCCTGGGTCAACTTGGACTTGAGTCGGGGTCAAGCAGGCAAAGCTGACGGGTGCAGCCACACGAAAGGGAGAAAAGCTGATCACTTCCAGTCACTAAGAATCCACACCCACACTTACGGAACACGTTGGTGAGGAATGTTCCCCCCTCCCGCGGAGACACAGCACTCTTTAGCCGACACTCCTGCCCTCCTCACCCGCCCTCATCCTTAGCCAGGCAGGCAGGTGGGATGCATTGCTTGACTGGTGAGTTTGGAGAGGAGCTATGTACGGGTCCTTCCTGCTCTTTTCCTCTTGGGACCTGGCTGTCTACAGGAGCAGATTACGGCTTGCTCCACCATGGCCTAGTTTTACAGAGGCAGGCCTGGGTTCCCAGACGGAACGGTAAGTCCGCCTAATTTGGGGTTCAACACGAGGAAGCCAGTTGCCACAGGTATAAGCTGCATTCTCCAATACTGGCTTCATCAGTGATCAAGGTGACCTCGGACCTTACCCGGCGCATTCTTTTGCTTTCATTCCCAGTTGATTTACCACAGTGGTTCTCACTTTAATGTGCATCAGAATCACCTGGAAGGCTTGTTGAAACAAGGATGTTTGATTCACAGGGCAGGGTGGGGCCCAAGAATTTGCATCTCTAACAAGTTCCCAGGTGAGGCTGTGGGCTTCACTGCTGCACTGGGGGCCACACTGAGAGACCCAGGGAGTGCTTGGCTGGTAAGTTCTGTTTATGGGTCCCTCAGACTCGGGCACTGAATGTTCTCAAGGCTGTCTGAGTCATCTGGGCGTCCTTCAGAAACTGGGGCCGGCAGACATTCTTTGGCCAGTTATGAGTAAGTAACTCTTACGAATCGATATCCTCTCCTAGCCCACGGCCTTGGGGAGAAACAAATGGTTATGGATTAGACTCATTTCTGTTCTAAGTAGAATGCAACGGAATCAGTGCCAGCCATAAATCAGCCCTGAAATGCCAATTTAAACACAGAATCCAAGAGAGGTGTGCAGTTAGTTCTCTTTTGGTAAAATCCTGTAGAACACTGTGCACAAATAAACATTTAACGGGGGCTTTACAATAATGAAGCTAGTACATTTTAAAAGCTTTTCACTGAAATATAAAACACAAACATTTGCAGATCAGTGGACAACGTGAAGAATCCACAGACTGAAAGCACCAGTGGAATCAGCACCAGAACAGAAAGAGAACATTTATCCCCCAAGAGTCTCTCTGTGCTTTCTTTAGTTACTGATCCTGCCTCCCAGGGTAAGTACGATCTTGAATTCTAATGGGAGTTACGTTTTACGTTAGGTATGTTATATAAATGCAGTCATTCAGCATGTACTCTCCAGTGTCTGTTTTCTTTTACTCAACAAATTCTTGAGTTCTTAATCACTCTCTGCCAATCTGCCGTGTTTCCCACTTCACGCTGGCCTGCCTCTCAGGCCTCTGTTTTGGGGCTGCGCCCGCCTGCTGCACTGGCCTTTCCACTGCCCTCCACAGTGCGGCTATTCCCTAGAGCCAGGTCCCCCTTAACTGTCAACAGCTGGACCTCCCTCCCACCTCCAGGCCTTCCTTCAAGCTTCCCACCTGTCAGAGTTTCATTCGTCAGAGCAGGCCAGGCTCTAGCATGGCCCCTGACGATGCCCACACCTCAGGCTCATCCCCTGCTCGTGTGTACTAGGGATGTTCTGCTCCTCACAGTTCTGGGGACCGGGTTTTCCCAGCACTGTGTGAAACATGTGGTCTCTCAGGCACCATGGCAGGGGCACAGAGACTGCAGAACCCCGCGGGGGCTTTCCACCACCCCGGCCCAGGAGCTACACTGGTTTCTTCTGCTCAGAGTTCACTTATCAGTAGTCACATGCGGCCTGGGAGAGGTAGGGGGATACTTGGTGAGCACCACTGTCTGCTGTGCCGACTCTGCCTTAAGGTCAGAGTACGTCCCCCTTTGCCCTTTGAGAAAGAAGGGGACCTGAGCGATATACTACCCAGCATCCTCCCCAGCCTCAGAAATACAGCATGCAGTAAGCCCCGGGGCGGGGCAGAGCTTGTCTCCTGGCGCCCCCTCACTGCACGCGGGTCAGCACCTCAGGCTGCTTCAGGGGCACCGGAGGCCCTGGGAGTGTATGCACATAGACCTCTTGCACCCTGAACCTCCAATTTGTTTTTGGCATTGGTTTTTTTCTGGTTCGGTGGATGAAACAAGGTGAAGGTAACCCAAGTTAGAGCAAGTGAGTCATTATCACTCTTCCCCACCTCTGTGGTTTGAAAATGAGACTCATTCTAATGCCAACTCTATCATTTTCTGCTGTGTGACTTTCGGCAAGTTGTTTAACCTCTCTGGACTTTAATTTCTGCTGGTAAAATAATGAATTGATTTCAGTAACATATATTTTTTCTCCTCAAATAGACAAAGTCTATTGGTGCTCAGAACCCATTTGCAGTTCCTTTTATCTTAATTTGGCGCAGCAGTGCTAGTCAGGTGTCCTGTTATCCTGGGGCAGCCTGTTCACTTAGCCCTGAGGGATTTATGCCAGAAGGAGCCCTAAAGGTAGAAATGCAGAGACTTGGTACAAGTTTAAAGAAATAGGGTTACCCTAGAGAATACCACTCTGTCATTCACTCATTCAAAAACTATTTAGGACCATTCACTGTTTATAGTAAATAGTAAAAACTATTTAGGACCTGGGCACTGCTCTCAGAAGGAGTGGTTGGAAGGGACCCCTACCCGCTTGAGCTTCCACATCTCCCTAGTCCAGGGCAAGGTCTGGGCCGTGCTCATTAGTCCTCACTCTCTGATGATTCAAGGGAGTTCAAGGCTGACAATTCATGGTAACATTGGAAGTTGCAGCTTTTTCCTCCCAGAAAGCTACTCATACAGTGAGCCATCTGCTGTGTGTCGACTTTCTGTCTGCTCGGGCCTTGTCCTGAGGCCAGCCAGGGAGGTCAAGCAAATTTTGAGAGGACAAGGAGGGCTCTAGGGTATATGGATGGCCAGTGACAGAGTGCTCAGACCCACATCATCAAGAGTTGACTCGTGGGTGTGTCCTGGGCCTGCCACTGAGGTGACTAA